TTCTCGTTCCGGACCCAAACTATAAATATTACATTTCTGATTCGAGTAATAATCACATGGCTGCTTTCCACCTCTGCTCCACTGTGACCTTTTCTCTTCCAGCTTCCTCTTACACTGAATTTAGTATTCAGTATACTGAGTTTATCTATTCACTCATTAATTAATTAAACAAAGAAAAGTTTGTTAGGCATGTTGTTGGGGAAGGAGGAGAAAAGGACATTTTACTACTTAATCATAATTAGTCTTGATTGTTCCCTAGGAGTTTTAGGTGTGTGTGTTTGGTTATATCAAAATATTTGAAGGTGCATGTGTCATACACACTTTGGATTGGATGTTGGGAACAGAATATGCTTCATGAAAACTTCATGGGTTAAATTCAGTTGGGAAGAAAAGCAGAATTACTTTTTGGCTTATAAACAAACATTAAGAACTCAAAGAATATGAATTAGGGAAGAAAAAGGGTTGACATGGGCACGAACTTGCTTGGGTTTGTGAAACTAAAGGATTATTTTAGCAGGGCCCAAAATGCCAGAGAAAAAGAAAAATACCAGTAGAGAGTAGAAAATGTTAAGTGTGTGAAGTGAAAGATTCTGAAGTGCTAAAGGAAAGTTTTACTTGAGGAAATGAAAGAACATTTCGGAGTTTTATGAAAAAATTATAGTTTTTAATTATGCAGACTGTTCTAAAGTCAAACAGAGAAAGGAGAAGATGGCATCTCCAGTAGTTGTTCAAGATTAAGGAAAAGACTCTATGGCTTAATGTTCCTCTTTTGTCAAAGATGTTAGAAAGCCCTAAGGAACGTTAAAGTATAAGAAATACAGATAAAAAAAGAAGCCATAGATGCAAGGAAGTCATTTAAAAAAAAAGTCTCACCGTAATTGGATGTATGGTTTTAGATTAGCAATCTTCCCACACCTGGCTGAACCACAGAATCACCTGGTGAGCCTTTCAAAGAGATTCCAGCATCCTTCACCTCTCATATGGTGACTCTTTCAGAGATGGAAAGGAGGTGAGTTTGGCATAAGCTGTTACTAGTGAGCCAGTAGTTCCTAGTGATTACCCCATTTTCATTCTTTCTCTCTTGAGTTTCTATAAATTTAATTATTTATCCAGCAACTTGAAATTCACTATTCTGCTGTTTTCAAAATGTCTCTTCTCCCCATCCCCACCCCTCCAACCTCCCCACTCCCACTAGTCTTTTAAAAATCCGGCTGTTTCCCTAAGCATACTTTCCTGCACGTCCCACCTTTTCTAGGCTTGCTCAGAGAGCACCACTGAAGTTATACAGACATATCTGTGAGTTTCTTCAGTGAATTTGGATAAGATTCATTTGAGCCTAGAGATATGAACTCATGTAAAGCAGCTAACTACTCCCTTTTAGTTTGATCACCTCTCTCAGGCTTCAGTTCCTTGTTAATCTGTTGTTTTGTGGCTTAGTTTGAAGATCATTCTCATGGATAGGGAAGGTGAGAGCAACAGAATGGTAACAGTTTCTGTTCTCTCTTACTCTCATCTGCTAATACTGTAATATCTGCCCCAAGGGGGATGTGAATCATTCCTTGCATTTACTCTAAACATACGTTAATAATTCCCTTTATTGTCCTCTGCATTTTTTCAAGCTTGAGTTCATTCTCAGATTTAACCCCTCCTGTCACTGTTCTCATCCTCTTTCTATTGGTTTTTGATTAGGTGCTTTATTCTTTCCCTTTTGTATCATTCCTGTTTCATCAGCCGCATGCCATTCTTTACATTCCCACTTCTTCCATGGCATCTTGACTCATCTATACAATTTTCTGTTCTATTGTCAACATTTTATTGTTGAATGCCTTGCTTCCCCCTTGAGCCATCTTTTTTTTTTTTTTTTTTTTCTTATACTCTGGTCATGGGACGGTATCGTTCTTTCCTCTGAACTTTCAGAAATACGTGTGTCCCAAATCTTGGGAAGTGTGGTCTGTGGCACAGCAGGCTTTATAATTGTACATTTCTGGGTCCTCTCTAGGCCTGTGGAATCAGCAGCTCTGGGGTGGCTCTTGAGAATATTGTGATTAGTCGGTTTATAATGTAATGTTTGTAAAGACTGCCAGTATTTCTCTCCTTTATTTTTATGAACTCCAAATAGCACTTTCTTTCAAGTTTTACCATCCCTTCAACTTTGCTTTCCTGGTCCAGAGCAGTAGTCTCTGTCATTAGCCTCTCCAATTTTTGAAAAACTAAGTTGTCAGCAAATTAATAATTCATCTGTTCTGCTTTTAAGAGAGTACAACTCTCAAAAATAACTTGAATTTCTCTAAACACTATTATATCTTGCCTCCATGAAAATGATGGGAAAAATATAAAGGGTATATTATACATATCTTCTGGCTAGCTAGGTTGTTTGTAATATATTTCCATTAGAATCATGCATATGAGTTTGGTTTTGTTTCTTCCTTTGGAACTGAGCGCGAAGAGTTGAAAGAATAATAATTCTCAGTTCATAGCGCTGTCATCATATGTCTATACAAAACCCCTTGTTTGAATTTCTCTTCCCTCCTCTTGCTCCTAATTCACAGCCCTGTTCCTTTCTCCTCCTTACGTACTCCATGTAAAGTGTTTGGTATATACCCATAAATAATTAAAGCTGTTTTGTGTAGATATTTTTAATTCATAGAAATGGTATTTTGCTCTAAATGCTCTTTTTGTCCACTCAGCATTTTAACGTCTATTCTACATAATTCTACCAATCTAATTTGTTCCTTTATTGTTTTATCGTTAATAGATACTACATTTTACTTTTATATCCCCTAGTGATGGACATCTAGGTTGCTTTCAAGCCGCATTTACCACACAAAGGCATTAAGAAACAGCATCATTCATACCCCCTAGTGGATCTGAGGAAATGTCTCTGGCTTAGAATCTTGAAAGTCATAGAATCGTGCATCCTTTCTTCACTAAGTGCTGCCAGGTTACATCCCAAAATCACAGTATCGATAAATATTTCCATCTCCTAAGATCTTCACTGATAGCTATTATCCACCTTTCTAATTTTTGTCATTCTAATGCACATCAGGTTGTATTTTGTTGTGTTTTAATATGGCTTTCTCCCATTACTAGTGAGTTTGGGCATCTTTTTATGACTATAATTATAATTGTTAACTCTTAGGACTTTTTGTTCTGTATTGCTTTATATCCTTTGTCCACTTTTTGTTGGATTTCTCGTTTATTCTTTTGGCTTTTCCATGCCTGTCTCAATTTGTAGCCTTTTTTTTTTTTTTTTTTAATTTGTCAATGGTATCCCAAGCACACCTGAAGTAAGTTAAATTTCTCAGAATTCTAATGCTTCTCTTTGAACATATTTGGGGAATGTTTCCCACAAAAGTTGTTCCTGGTAACTAGAGCTGCCTAGTTAGTTTCAAGCATACACAGAGAACCTCATAAAACAGAAATTCTTAATTTTGTACTGGTTCAATCTACCATATTATTTTCATTAAAGTTGTTTATATTGGGGGCTTTTAAGGTCTTAAAACTTTTTTCGCTCCTAAATCACAAAGATATCATCCTACATTTTCTTCTGTTGGGTTGACCTTTCATATCTGGGTCTTTAATGCATTTGCGTTCCACAGTGGTTTATAGTATAATATAGGGATGTAGCGACCCAGTTTTATATTTTCTTACTATAGTGAGGAGATTTTTCCAGTGCCAGCTACTAAACAGCAGATTTATTTCCCTGAGGATTGGTTGCTGTGGGAGGGCATGCAGTACAGATAGGAACATTGGCTGGGACCTGATTGCCCAGGTCTGTCACATACTGACTTTGTGACATAGGCCTAACAGTGCCCCAGATCTCAGTGAGGAAGAAATGAGATGGAAGTTCCAGGCACATGGAAAGCACGCAGTTTTTGTTATTACTTATCTCGTTCTTCTATATACAGTCACATGCTGAATAACAATGTTTCAGTCAACGACAGACTGCATATACAGCGGTCCCATAAGATTATAATGGAGCTGAAAAATTCTTGTTTCCTATCCTATTCCTATTCCTATCAGAGACATCTTTACCTTGGTAGTGCACTGTGTTATATGTTTGTGGTGATATTGATGTAAACAAATCTACTACACCGCCGCTTGTATAAAAGTATAGCACACACAATTGCATACAGTACATAATACTTGATAATAATAATAAATGACTATGGTACTGGTTTGTGTATTTACCATACTATATTTTTTGTTATTATTTTAGAGTGTACTCTTTTCACTTATAAAAAAATTTTGCTCTAAAACAGTGTGCTGCATTACGCCAGCAGCAGCCTCCTACATCTCGTGTTTACCATGTCTCCTGATTGCATCATTTCCTCTTGTGCTTCATTTAATCTTGTGTTGTTTTATAAATTTAGTGTAGCCTAAGTGTTCAGTGTTTACAGTCTACAGTAGTGTACAGTAGTCCTAGGCCTTCACATTCCCTCACCACTCACCCATTAACTTAACCAGAGCAACTTCCATTCATGGTACCTGTATAGGTATACCACTCTTTATCTTTTACATTGTATTTTTACTTTATCTTTTCTATGTTTAGATATGTTTAGATACACAAATACTTGCTGTTGTGTTATAATCGTATACAGTGTGAGGTATAGTAACATGCTGTACGGGCTTGAAGCAATATATACCATAGAGCCTCGGTGGCTATACCATCTAGGTTTGTGCAGGTGTGCTCTAGGATATTCACCTGAAGACAAAATCAACTAACAATGCGTTTCTCAGAACATATCCCTGTCTTTAAGTGACACATGGCTGGCTGTACATGGGTCTCTTGTAGTTCCGTTATCCACTACTCTCTTTCATTAGCATCTTTTTTTTCTAGTACCGGTTGTCGACATAAGAAACGTCCGAACCTGTAGAGTATTATTATGAGAGTTTATTTGAGCTGAACTGACAACACGTTCCTGGGAGCAAGATCTCAAGTGCTCTGGAAAACAGTTTTGCAGCTTTTTTTTTTAAGCAATTGACATTAAGGAGAGAACGTAGAATTACGTGGAGGTGGGAGAAAGCAAGCGGGGATTGGATTACAGGAGAGTTAAGGAGACTATGTGCTCCCTTGAGGATGGTTATGGCTTATTTCAAAGGTGTGCTAATCTAGATGCATAGAAACAATACACGGGGCTTGCTTAAAATAAAGATAAACATTTTACTAAATAGTTATATGCCTGGGGTGTGACTACACACCAGGACCTGCCCATTTAGGAATTTATGATCAGATCACCCTGTGTGGTTACTTTCCATAGAACTCCTTCTTCGGTCCACAAGAATATGTGATAACTATGCCTTTCTAATACATCTTAGGTATTTTCCTCATTCCTTTCTTCGTGTTTTGTTTTGTTTTGTTTTGTTTTGTTTTGCTTCTTTTTTTACTACCCCAACCCAGGTTTACCTCCTCTGCATACTGAGAAAGTTGATTTTGTTTGTTTTCTCAGTTAGCATAAATTGGACAACCGGTACAGAGTGGGGAAAAAAGTCTTGGAAGAAGCTAATGCACAAAGCAGATTGTCAACACAATTCATTAATTTATAATGAGATACATAACTGCTCAACAGGCCTAGGTACTTGGTTTTCTTCGATTACCTGTACATTCTTCTCTGTGGGAGAATATACCTGGAAAGATTTTAGAGTCAGGAGTTCAAGGAACCAGAGAAGATGGTAGATAGAAGATCCAGTGTCCTCATACCGTGTAGCCAAAGACGTATACCTATTATAAAATATAATATCCCATAGTGGAGATATACCTACCTGCCAAGCAGGACAAAAAGCTGTAGAGTCTCCCTCCTCTGGACAGTGCTGAGGACACATGGACAGGTTCTTCTTTGCTCACTCCCCTCTCCACCCCTACCCTTGAACAGGTTTCAGCAGAACACATTATTCCTCACACATTCTTTCTTCAGGTTTATCAATACTATTGATTTAGCCTCAACCGTTTTCCTACATTCTAGCCATATATACCTTGACTAAATCTCTAGACCCTGGATTTTATCCTTCCCCTTAAGGTAACATCTTCAGATAGTTACCTAATCACATCCAGTGTAGGTGGGTTTTACTAGTTTAACTAAAAGGACAACACTTTTTCCAAGTTCAGAAGATAATTCATTGCCCCATTTTGCTTCTCTCCATGTCATACATCACGGCCACATAGAATTGGGTTTTATTTCATCTGGCTACTTTTCACTCTCCTCTTTAAAGTCTTCTCTGGCCAACAAATATCCTCCCAAACGTATTCTTTCTAGTCTCAGGGGCCTCCATCATATTCATCTTCCCCATACTTATCCCACCTCCACTCCCTCCCCGTGCCTGGAGCCGGTCTTTGTCTACCTTAAATTAGTACCCATCTGTTGGCATGTTGGTGTCTGAGTGGGGGGAACAAAAAGTTGTGATCTTTAGAATAATACATTTTTTATGTTCAAACAGCTAGACCTTTTTCTGAATCCATTTAAACCTATTTGCTATGAGCAAACATTGTCTAACCTATGGCCCTGGGCATATTTGCCGCATCTAAATTTA